CAAACATTGGGTATGATTTGTGTTACATTAAGAACATAAAAGGTTTATCACGTCGAGTGCTTTTCCAAGGATGTAAGCGAAAATATTGCCAATTCACACATCTTTTTATTTTTCGTTGTTTAAACCCCTGCTCAGATTATCATTTTTCCGTATTCGGTTCGGCGTGTTCACAAAAAATTTAAAGGTTTAAGGCTGGGTCAGACATCAACATAGGCAGGTTGTAATGTACTACTTAATATGGATGATGTCACATAGCGCTGTCTATCGCATTTAGCTCATTGCTGTCACGCCTCGTACGCTATCTGACCAAGCCCTTAGGTATAGTGTTCTTAATATTCCTGAAGGAATATCGTATTTGACTGAGGAGTCTAACGTCTTCATTTCTTCAAACGATAGATTTTTGACGATAGATTTTTTATTGTCAGTCTTAAATACTTAAAAGAAGCAAATCATCTCATTAAAAAACGAAAATTTAGTCTAACATTTTTGTATCACAAATATATGTGTCGATTTACTCAATACTACTAAACAATATTCTTTTTAAAGCTATGTGTAATGTTACTTTAAGTAAAATAAATTTTAGTAAATCTATGGAACGATAACAGAAACTTAAAATTAGAACGCAATACACGAATGAGTTTTAATGGGATGTAAAACAGACAATCTTTACAAATCTTTAAAAATATCCTCCTATTAAATTGTTTTAACAGATATTTTATTTTCCTATGACCATTACATACAGCCCTGTAGCTGACTTATAATATGTGACGTGGTCAAGGTGGAACCGGCCTCGTGCCCTAACACGTGGACGATCCGATAATAAATGACGGAAGAAATTATGCAATTAGGTCACTTTCACAGTTTGTAAATTAATAAAAACAGACACAATTATTATTGAAACTCGTTACAATAATTACGGAGGTAGAATTTAGCTCAGGGTGGAGGCCCTGGGGCTTTGATCATAGTGGCGACCGTGGTAGGTGGAGAACACTTAACTGAGGTGCGGCCCGGAGCGAAAAGTGTCCCTACCGCGTTTGTTCCTCGTAATATGCTCCTGATAGGAACGTGGACGTTGACGCGTTACATATATTTATAAAATTTAATTTAACAAAATTTCTTTTTCTTCCCGTCGTCATGAGAACTGTGTTAGAACATTCGGTATTATTGACCAGTTCAATGAATTAACAAAACAAAATGCTGCAATGCGTTCTAGCAGTGCTCCTTTTATTATGCGTAATAAACAAGAAAGAGAGAAAAGAGATAAATAACGCATTGTTAGAAAACACTATTTGCCTACTTATGTTTACTTACAATTCGTGATGGAGACAGACTAGATATGCTCATTTGCACATATCTGGATATGATATCTAGGCAGACTGGTTTATGTTTAATCTATACATATAAAATTATTTTCTCTGGCTGACTGATTTATCAACGCAGAGCCTAAACCTCTGGCCTTCAAACTTGAATTTTGGCAGGTCATTTTCAAAGTTAGCAACACGAAGTTTCGTATACCTTATTCTGATTAGAAAGCAATGAACACGTGTATCGGGGTTCCGCAAAATTTAACCCCTAAGTGGATAAATTAGGGATTGTAAGTTTACATACAAACTTCGTCACTTTTGCAGGAATGGGCTTGAAATTTTTTATTAAAACTTCTTAAATAAATTTTAATAAAAACTATGAATTTTAATAATAAAACTTCAAAATATCTTTGATACATAAAAAAATAATTGAAATCGTTTTTTATGTAGACTAAAGTCGTAGAATAACACACAATAGCAACAATCTCTGTTTTGTCAATAGTAAGGCAAAAAAAAAATGCTTGCACACAATCTATGATATGCCTGTGCCGATCAAAAACCGCCCGTTTCTAAGCTTCTTATCTTTTCCTATGAAAATTTTGACCTAACTCACTGATTCATTACTTTATTGAAATTTTAGCAGCTGATGCTTTTTATGGTAATTGTGTTAATTTCACCCTTAAGGAGGTAAATTAAGGACGGACCGGTTACGATACGGAAGTTCGTCATTTTCAAATTTAGAAACATGAAATAGAAAATAATCACGCGAGCAAAACTCCAGTGTCATTTTCATTTTCTTTATTTATAACAAAAACACTTTCATTTTAAATTTGTATGTAATTTTATATAGTTAAGAGAGACGAAGACGAAAAGTCATCCGCCCTCTCACTCTTCTCCTTCCTGTTCTTCTTCTCTTTTGCTACCTTCTTGTTTGTTTGTTTATAAAATAATTCGATTCAATAGCTGATCCCACGAGTGCAGGAGTAATAAAGGTCAACCCGGGCAGAGATCCCCCAATACCCGGTCAAGTGTAAATTTATGCCCAACCGAAGGTTCCGCGTTTTTCTCATCAATGCTCCTAAGAGCGAAAGGTCAACAGTGGTATCGGCAGACACGCCCGCTCTGTTGGACCAGGCCTCGACCGAATAGCCGAAGAAGGATGGCCTCCTTTTCGTACTAGAATATTAGCTTCCAAATAGCGGAGGAAAAACCAGCATCATCGTCAACGTTTTCAGGGTGCACCATTTGGAGGTTTTCTAGCCAAGCACCCCTGAGTACCTCCACCATAAATGAGCCCTAAATCTAGGTTTAGGGCAAGAAACCTGTAGAAACTTTTCCCACCACTGAAAGTGGAAACATTTTACAACTCTTACTCATTCTATCACGTAATCTTTCAAATGCAATAGGTCCCCATGACGCTCGAGGAAATTTCTATTTAGCATCATGGCCTCCCCTGCTGTATAGTGATTGCTTATAATATTCTGTTTTAAGATCAACTTTAAAACAATACCATATATTTTCCAAGGAACAACACACCTTAAAGAAAACAACTCTTGTCCTGCTAGAACTATTGCAAGCGTAATTTCCGTGAGATTCATAGTATATTGCAATTTCAATTTTCAACCCTAATATAAATATCCTAGAAGTTCGGCAGTTGAGTGTTTGACGATAAAGCTATTAATGAAGCTGCTCCGTTTGCTCATTTTCCAAAAAATAACCATAAAAATCGATTCAAATTATAACGTTTGCATAATAGTGCTAATAAATATTATAAGCCAAGATAACACCAACATAAAATGTCCATAAACATACACAAAAGTTTACTCATTATACAGATTAATTGATACATGATACATACATTGGTATTGACGGGCCTGTTGGTCTAGTGGTTAGTGATCCTGACTGCTAAACCGGAGGTCGTGGGTTCGATTCCCACCCAGAACAAATATTGTGTGATGAGCACGGTCATTAGTTCTGTGTCTGGGTGTAATTTATCTATAATATGTATGTATTTAGAAATATATAAGTATGTTTATCAGCGGTCTGGTTACCATAGTACAGGCTCTGCCTAGTTTGGGATCAGACAGCCGTGTGTGAGTGTGTGGGGATATATTATTATTATATATATATATATATATATATATATATATATACATATGATATGATACATATGAGTATATTGAAAATGATTTTTAGAATAAATCTAGTATTACATAGGATACATCGTAATATAAGAAATTACTATTAGTAAAATTACAAGTCAACACACACATTATGAACAAGGTATAAATTTACTACATTCGTAATATCTCAATCCCAGTAGTCAATTATATACTTTATGCAACCTGCAAATAACCTTGGGATTGCAAATAGCCAACCTCCAAATAATAAAGGCTTTTCCACGCTTTACAAATGTACGGTATTACGTCTTTTATTGAGTCGATAAAAATGTATGATTCAGATGACCCCCACCACACCTGATAGATCGCGCCATTATAAATATAAAGAATCTATGCTTCACCTGCCATTTCCGACCTATTAAATAATTTATAGTTAAAATTGAAAAACACTTTTCAATGGTAAATTGAACCAAAAAGCAATATTTTTTTAAATAAAACACGAGAAATGAAATATTATTGTAACTTTTACAAAAATATTTCAGTTTAGGTTTCTCTTTACCGTATTTTATACAATCGTATAGATCAAATAAATGTATTTGAGCAGTCGATATCGAGCACCCCGCATAATTTTGGTAATTTCTAATACACATTCATATAAACAACATTAAAATATTTATAAAATACAGTAGGTGATGTTGTTGCCTAATCTACTCGTTATTTTTGAATGGAATTCAAAATATGTGATCAGAACTGTATTTGTGTGTACTGTGTTAAAGAACAATATGAATCAGCTTAAAATCCTAGAATTTAATAAATATACCAGTTACAATTTCATACTTTTTTTTTAAATCTGAGATATTACGTAACGCTACCGCGGAGGAAAATCAATGGGATACACTACAGTTTAAACCTAGCTCTCTGTCTAACATTTCAGGATATTACAGTTGGTTTATTTATTTCGCTATTATAAAATTTACCGTACTACACAAAACTTAAAATCCTACCAACAACATATACAAATAGCGTTGCAGTGTATAACTTTTCTAAAGGATGACCTTTTCTAAAACGCGTAACTTTCTAGATTTGGGTACACCACATTAAGTTACCCAAAAATAGATATGTTTAAAACCTGTAGTAAACCAATTATATGCTTATGGATCTATTTGTTATCTATATATATATATATAAGAGATTTCCACGTGTATAGTCACTCATCACAATATCTCTGGAACCATTAGAACTAAAGACTTGAAATTTGGTAGGAATATTCTTTTCACCGAGTAGAGGTCAGCTAAGAACGGATTTTAAGAAATTAAAAAAATAATAATTAAATAATGTAAATAGCAAAACAACGTTTGCAGGGTCAGCTAGTAATATTATATTTAGCAAAAAATAATTAACATAAATGAAATCTCTACGTAACATGTATTTTTGTTAGAAGGTACCAATTTCATTGGCTTATTATTTCCGCTAGATAATTTGTCACAATGTCACCTTGCTTCGTTTTGGAGTCATTTGTAGTCAGAGGATAGTTGGTGACACAACACTGCAGCTGAATAAACAATTTTTTCTGAAAATGGCCAAAATTGATTTTAAAATCAATGGAAAACAATATGAAGGTATGTTTTCAATTCTAATATAATTTCTTCGTTTCGCTTTTCAACTTTCTAAAATAAAATTCAAAATATCTTGCACAAATTGTCATATTGTGAACTTTTTTTAACGTTGATTCTAAAACAGCAGAGATGGTTCGCTCACGTATAAACATACAAAAAGTATATAAAATACTCACATAATAAAAAAATAAGCACTTAGATTTTGTAGATATCTATAAAAGAGCCCAACGGATGTTTTAAAATATAAATAAGAATAAATTTATAAAAACCCGACAAAAAGATGCCACAAACAAAAAGTCACACCTACTGAGATAGTGATCGTGGGTTCATTTTTTTATCCAGAACAAACAATTGTTAAATGAGCAAGAACATTTTTTTGTCTGGGTATAATTGTAGATAAATGGCACACAGACAAAGAACAAATGTAATATGTACCTATGTAGTTAGAAATTTAAAAGTAAATAAAATTTATTTCATCATCAGTCTAGTTGATATAATACAGGCCTGGCCTAGTTAGGATCTAGATAGCCATATCTGATGTTATTTCACTTGTATAACATTTTTATTAATTTCAGTTGATGGTAGATTTGGTCCAGATGTATCACTTAACGAATACATTCGGGACGTCGCGCATTTACGCGGTACTAAAGCAATGTGCCACGAAGGCGGCTGCGGTATATGCATCGTCGCAGTACGAGCCGCTCTGCCACCTACAAATGAAGTCAAGTTGTTCTCTGTCAATTCTGTAAGTACCATATCATCATCGTTTAAATATTTAAAATAGACATTAAGAATTTTGCTCCTCTAAAGAGTTATCCGTGTACGGATTAAGAATACAGAGTTTCACCACTCCTATTCATCCCGTGAGTGTCGTAAGAGCCGATTAAGGGTGTAAACTACGCAGGACAACAACACTGCAAAGAGAAGGAAAACTTGAAACAAACCCTATGGCCTGTCTGGCGAGCGTGGTATCGTAGGCCCAAACCTCCTGTCTAAAGAGAGGTCTATGTCCAGCAGTGGACTAGTAAAGCCTGTTGATGAAAAAGTTATAAAGAATTTGTATATATGTATCCTTAAAATACTAGAATAGGAAAAAGGCTAGACTAGATAAAAAGACAACATTTGTATTGAGTGTAATATAATTTTATTGTTATCACTAACTACGTCAAACATTTAATAACCTTGAGAAGCAATTGCATCACCAGATTTAAAAAAAAAACTTCATCATCTACGTTACCAAAATCAGTGCCATATATATTATATTTCAGTGTCTAGTCTCAGTTTTATCTTGCCATGGTTGGGATATAATAACTGTAGAAGGAGTTGGTAATAGGCTAATCAGCTACCATGAGATACAAAGCAGATTAGCCAAATTTAATGGTACGCAATGCGGATACTGCACGCCGGGATGGATTATGAATATGTATAGGTAACATATGTTCTCGTGATCACATTAAATTTTAGCTACACTAAAAGAGAAAGATTCAAATTAATTGTAAAACATTATGTAAATTTTTTTTTTTCAGTCTTTACGAAACGAAAAAAGGCAGTTTGACACAAACACAAATAGAAAATTCTTTCGCTAGTAACATTTGCAGATGCACAGGTTACAGGGCAATTGCCGATGCTTTCAAAACTTTTGCACAAAATATTGATGAAGATCTTAATAATAAACTCATTGATTTGGAAGATTTATCTGCTCTAAAAACTTGTAAGAAGCAATGCTTAAAAACGTGCGATAATCAAATGGAAACTGTGAGAGAAGTGAATGTTACAGATGACCAAAATTGGTGCGTTATTGAGAAAAGTGATAAAACAATGATTATTGTAGACTCTGGTAAACGCAAATGGTTCAAACCATTCACCTTAGATGATGTTTTTAAAATTATAGCCAAAAATGATGACTATAAATTAATTGCAGGAAATACTGGTCAAGGTAATAACAATTAGTATATACGTAGGTCAATTTTATATCACTGTTTATGTTGTTTTAGTAAATCTACTCTTTCTTCAATTATTGTTCTACTTCTTTATTATTTATTCTATACTACTTAAACCTCATGGTTTCTTCTTTAGGGTTCAACTTTTTGACGTAATTTTATGTACATACTCGTACATTGCTGTATTTTTATATATTACGTACGAAATTACATTAGTCTTTGCATCTTGAAGTATATTGCCATACATTTGTATACTTAAATAAATGTATTGTTGCGTTGTTGAATTTTAACATCTGTAGTTTTAAGGTTTCGAAAAAAACAAAATTGAAATGCTTAATTTTGTAGTGCTAATTTTTATTTTAGGTGTTCATCACATTCAAGATTACCCACCAAACGTCATTGATATTTTCAATGTTGTCGAGTTAAAAGGTCACTCATTTGATGTAAACCTAATACTTGGAGCCGGCATGACTCTTTCAGAAATGATGGAACTGTTCAACCAAGTATCATCACAGGATGATAATTTCTCATATTTAAAGATATTTTATGATCATATGGATTTGGTTGCCCATATACCCGTCAGAAATGTAAGGCATATATTTTGATTAATTTATTTTGTGTTAGCAAGCGTATGAATAAACAAAACCATAAAAGATGATTATTTTTTAGATTGGCACTATCGGAGGTAATTTATTCATAAAATATGAAAACAACGATTTCCAGTCAGACTTATTTCTCTTATTTGAAACTGTCGGTGGAATGGTAACAATTGGTAAAACACATTTTTTTAATTAATTTCACAAATCTCATTCGCAAAGCTTTGTTATAATTCATGTTTAATACATCATGAAACCGTTCTAATTCTGTGTTTTGTAATGCCCAGTTAAATGCGTTTAATATTTGACTTGAAAATCATTCTTTCTGATTATAGCATTGATTTTAATGTATTTGTTTGAATATATTTATGAATTCGTCTATTTACATGTTTCATATTTTTCCATCTAAAGTTTGCTTTTCAGAGATTTGTACGTGTTCATTAATTTGATGTAAAAAGAAATAATAATTTATGTTTAATAAAGTATGTTCTATTCTAATTTTACTTTTTAGCTGAAAGTACTAGTGTCCAAAAAACAATATCCTTTACGGACTTTTTACAAGCAGATATGAAGCGAAAAGTGATTATTAACGTCATGTTACCTCCTTTGTCTTCGAAAAATACTAAGATCAAGACTTACAAGGTATGCATTTTTTGCCTACATACATCATATTTTACAATTTTCTCTATAAATTGAATAGCATAGTACTTTTTTTAGATAATGCCAAGATCCCAAAATGCTCACGCTGTAGTTAATGCTGGATTTTTGTTTAAATTCAAACAAAATTCAAAATTTTTGGAAAAGGCTACAGTAGTTTTCGGTAGTATATCGCCAAAATTTATACACGCTACTAAAACTGAAGAAGCTTTAGCTGGAAAAGATATCTTCACCAACGAAACGTTACAAATAGCAATTCAAACGCTGAGTGAAGACATGACCCCTGACGAAGCACCTCCCGAACCATCAGCAGCTTACAGAAAAATGTTAGCAACGGCTTTGTATTACAAAGTAAGTATGCTTGTGTTTTTGAAGTAGAATGATTATGATTCATGAAAGAGAGTACGAGTATGTTAACTCAAGAGTTATAATTGACTGCGAAATTTCGAAGAATAAGAAACGATAGAAAAATTCATAGCAGGCTCATTTACAATTAAAATTTCCAGTCTTCATAAAGACGGCCATATTAGTTTATTTTAGATATTTTGTTGCATAATCTTATATTGTATTCTATTGTAGGCTCAACTGCTTGGAAAAACGCTGAAATCTCAACTATTTGCAACTCGGTATTATTTTGAAGTGAAAACTTCTTTAGCGGCGTTGTATACTTTTTTGTAATGGGTAAAAAATGTTAAACTCGCGTCAGGACACGTGACCTGATCGAAAATCTGTAAGACGGATGGAGAGTAGACAGCCGGCGCGGCATAGCAGAGGAAGTATCCCCCTCTCTTTCTAAATGTATGCCTGCGCCTGCTGTTTCGTTTAGGCGGCTCGCGAATGTTCGTGTGTGTTTATAAAATTATTCCCTAACCATTCCAAAATATCAAAAATGCACAACGTTAATATTCAAGTTTTGACTGCCGGGTTGCATACGTATTTTTTTTTCGATTGAAGTGGCGTGCAATATAAGATGCCTATGTCCAGCAGGGGACTACGATAGGCTGATGATGATGACGTATATTTATTTTATTAATTATGGTAATTATATAAAACTGTAGCCGTAATTACAAAAATCTTCAAGATATCAATTCAAGAACAATTATTCCTAACTAGTAATTGAAGCCATCAGAAGATTAAATATTCATGCAAGCGTCAATATTACACTTTTTGCAGGCGATATTGAGTCTTTGCCCCGATGGTCAAATTTCAAAAAGATATAGAACAGGAGGTGAAGTTCTAAAAAGAAATACTTCTCGTGGAGCTCAAATATTTGACACCGACAAAACTGTTTGGCCTTTGAACCAGCCCATACCGAAATTAGAAGCTTTAGTACAATGCAGTGGTGAAGCTACTTTTTCAAACGATCTGCCAAAACAACCTAACGAAGTATTCGCAGCGTTTGTAACAGCGGATGTTAGACCGGGTAGTATCATAAGTGGTTTTGATACTACAGAGGCATTTGTAAGTATCATTTTTGTCACCATAAATTATATTTAAGTGATGATAAAATATTGTATTGTATTTGTGTTTTAGAAAATCACAGGAGTTGTAGCTTTTTATTCCGCCAAAGATATACCAGGAAATAATTCATTCACACCTCTTAATGTGCCGTTAATCAATGTCAATGAAGAGATATTATGTTCGAAAGTAGTAAAGTTTTATGGGGATCCAGTGGGAATTATTGTTGCTACTAGAGAAAAAACTGCAAATAAAGCAGCAAAACTAGTAAAAGTAAACTATGAGTCTATCAGTGAAAATAAACCTTTGCTAACAATAGATGATGTACTGAATTCTCCTGAAAGAAACAAAAGGGTAATTAATAACAGGACTGTACAACCTGAAGAAATTGGTAAAGACGTAAAACATGTAATCAGTGGTGAACTAAAGTTAGAATCTCAGTTTCATTTTTATATGGAACCACAGACATGTGTAGTGAGGCCAACTGAAGATGGATTGGAAGTTTCAGCTTCAACACAGTGGCTTGATTTGACTAATGTTGCTGTGGCACAGTGTTTAAACGTTCCCGTTAATAGGTATGATCGATGCCTTATTCTTTGATATATTTATTTATATTTTAGCTTGGACCAAAATAACGGAAAATTGATTGGAACTAAATTTTGTATATTGTTTAGTATTTCTTGTAGTTGCATTTGAACTTAAAAAAAACATACCAAAGTAGCAGTGAAGTCATTTAAAAACTGATTACACTTGTAACGATTTGATCAAGAAATGTTTAATTCTAATCATAGAAATATTTAAAATTAGCATACATTTTAATTATTGATGGGAAATATTATTTTAGCATCAACATCGTTGTTCGGAGAGTGGGAGGAGGTTACGGAGGAAAAATAACAAGGTCTTGTCAGGTGGCATGTTCTGCCGCTTTAGTAACCCACCTGCTTGGCAGAACCTGTAGGTTTATACTCCCTCTAGAAACAGGCATGAAAATTATTGGAAAGCGTTTACCTACTACCTGCAATTTTCAGGTAAGTCATATTCATCAGCGACATTATTTGCATAATAACTAATATATATAATACAATACATGTAAGGACCTAAATAAATAAAATCAATAAATAACCTCACACATTTCACACACAGCTGTCTGATCTCAAAACTAGGCAGAACCAGTGCTTTGGTGACCAGATTGCTGGTAAACATACTTATACATTTCTAACTATATACATTTCATAGATTAATTACACGGTCACTTGTTCTGTGTCAGGGTGTAATTTATCTATAATATCAATCCATTACAAAGATTCCACATATTATAAATCCAATATGTTGGTATAACTATTGTAGTTTTAATCTTTGCTACCTATACCAATGTCAACAAGCTATAAAGCTAAGCTATTTTTGAATGGCGATTCCTTTGTTGTAGTCACCACATATCAGATGGAAACAATCATTTTTGTATCGGACAGAGTAATCATTGAGAAATATTATAAAGTATATAAAATAATTTTAAGTAAAACCGAAGTAGTAATTTAGAGAAGAGTAGAGAATAACCAGTTTAAATCCATACTTATTTTAAAAATATAAAAGTGAGTTTGTTTCTTTGTTGGTTTGTTACGCTATCTCGCCTAAACAACTAAACCGATTGTAAAAAATCCTTTACCAATGAAAAGCTACATTATCAGCGAGTGACATAGACTACTTTTAACCGCGAAACCTGACATACAACCGGGTGGAGCCGCGGGCAAAAGCTAGTATTCCATACTTTGCCTTTTGGATCTGAGAAGAAGTAAGGCTAACAAAGATGTCTAAACAGAATAATCCCGTACCTCATCTAATTCAACAGTTTTGAATTCCATAAACATAGTTTGAGTTTACTATTTAAAACAAATAATACTACATGTATAATAGATTCTTAAGATCTTATTTTGACACATCAAAAATCCACACAACATTTCGCGCCCTCCCCCCCCCCCCCCCCCCCTTTATCCAGAGAACTTTGAAATTTATGAGGGTCAAACTTGAATGTTGACCCGACATAGTTTGAAACTCACCGAATTTATTGGTATTGTACATACATACATTTTATACAAAAACATTTTTTTGGTATTTTACCGTGTATCAGTGTGTAACTTTGTTATTTTGATTATATTTAGAACTAGTATATCTTAATATCGAATACCTTATTTCAAAATTCAGGTTTGCCACACACAAAAAATTCTTAGGGTACCTGTAATGCAGAAAACCTAATATTGTAGATAGCAATTAGATTAAATAACTTCTGATATTCTGTATTTAATTCACCTTTTTATATTTGAACACCTTTAGGTAGGTGTAAATAACGATGGAGAAATTCAGTACCTAAAGAACATTTTTTACCAAGACAATGGATGTGGTCTCAACGAAGTCATCACAGCCATCACTGTCAATCATGTTTTTAACTGTTACGATACGAGGAGATGGTATGTAGAAGCGAATAGTTTAACTACAGACACAGCTTCTAACACCTGGTGTAGAGCGCCGGGTATGTAAAGTTTGAAGTTATTTTAATGAAAAATAAAAATGCTGCTGTTTGAAAATTGCCTGAAAATAAAAACGTTTTCTAAACTTAGTATTTGGATTGACTTATATATTGAGTATCTAAAAACATGATATAAATGTCCATGCTTTTTCTAGGGACAAGTATTTCTAAGACACGATGTATTTTAAGAGAGTTTGAATATAATGTATATGTACATAATGACGTAATCAAATTAGTCCCGCTCTGGTAGTGCAACTTTTCCACGAGTGACCATATGGAAAACTAGGCATTTAGATGTAATACATTAAATTGCAAAAGTAATTACTTCTAAATCACATTACGGTATGATGGTAAACATTTTCATGCATTTCTACAAGATTCTAGCTTTTTTTTAAATATATTTTAATTTCAGCTTCAACTGAAGGTTTAGCAATGACTGAATATATTATGGAAAAGATTGCATACAAAATTGGTAAAGATCCTCTTGAAGTAAGGCTAGCAAACATGTCTAAAGAGAATAATCCCGTCCCTGATCTCCTTCAACAGTTAATGAAATACTGTAATTACGACGAAAGAATCAAAGAAGTAAAAACATTTAACGATGAGAATCGTTGGAGGAAAAGGGCATTGAAAGTTATACCGATGACATACGACTTGTTTTATATAGGACCATATAATTCCCTTATATCAGTGTATCATGCAGATGGATCAGTTGTAATCACTCATGGAGGAATAGAAATGGGGCAAGGGATCAATACGAAAACTGCTCAAGTTTGTGCCTACAAGTTCGGTATATCAGTTGAGAAAATTAGTGTGAAGCCAAGTTCTAGCTTCACTTCACCCAATATGATGGCAACAGGTGCTAGTGTCGGTAGTGAATGTATAGCTTTTGCTACCATGAAAGCCTGTGATTTAATTTTAGAACGACTTGCTCCAATTAGAGAGAAGATGAAAGATCCAACTTGGGAAGATTTAGTGGAGAAGGCATTTCAAGCAGATGTTGATTTACAAGCCTCTTATATGTTTTCAAGTAAAGATGATGTTAAACCGTACGATATTTATGGTGCTTGCGCTTTGGAAGTTGAAGTCGACATATTGACAGGAAACCATGATATCAGAAGGGTAGATTTGTTAGAGGACACTGGAAGAAGTTTGAATCCCGTGATTGATGTTACTCAAGTGAGTGTTGTTAAACATTAAATATTTGAAGTTATTGAGCACCTGATCCTACTTTCACTACTATTTTACAGTACCTATAACAATTTCCTAAAATTTGTTTTTTAAAGATTGAAGGAGCTTTCGTGATGGGTATTGGTTATTGGACTTCAGAAAAAATTGTATATGACCCTAACAGTGGCAAACTACTCACTGATAGAACTTGGAATTATAAACCTCCAGGGATTAAGGATATTCCGGCAGATTTTAGGATTTATTTTCGAAGAAATTCAAAAAATCCTTGTGGTGTCCTGCAGTCTAAGGGTAAATATTAAAAAAATATAATTTCTCTCTCTCTCTCACTTGAGATCTCTTATAAGAGATCTCAAGTTGACAAAGGGAGTTAAATTAATGTCGGGTTCTCTCAATTCCTATAGTGAGTAGGTACCTCTAACCGAGTTTATTTAACCTCTAATAAAATTATCTCCACACCAACTTCAATTTTCAATAAGTAATATTTATGTAGAAATAATATCTCACATGAATTTTCATGAAATCTTACACTTATTAGATCTAACTTGCCCGATCAATCACTTATTAAAGCTTTGGGGGTTTTCAGGTATCAAGAACGATAGCCTAATTAATTGTAGGTTTTGATTACATTTACTTACATTTAAAACATTTGTATGTAAAATGTATAGATACACACACATATAAATATTCAGTAACAATTATATTTGCGGTAATAACTCGACACAGACACACTCGTATAATAGATTAACTTCATTTTTCTAAACATTTGACAAAACAGATTGTTGCTATTGTGTGTGTTGATCTATGAATTTAGAGTTTAAGACGGTTTCAAACAATTTTTAAAAGAATTTCATGAAATAAAGATGTTTTGAGTTTAGTTTGAGTTTTTTTCCTATCCAGCTACTGGTGAACCAGCGTTATGCCTAGCTGTGGTTATTACACACGCTCTTCGAGAAGCTGTAAGAGCTGCACGATTGGACGCAGGTTACGAAGACCAATGGGTGAACATACGTAAGTTTAACATTATATTACAAAAACACATGATCTGCGTAATGCGGATTTAATGCCTATAGAAATAAACATTGGTCATCAAATAATTACTGTAAAATATTAGTTATTGTTGTCACAGTCCCGTAGAATTACTGTTTAACATAATTTTTTTGAAACACTTACCAAACAAGTATCTAATCGAAGTAAATTTTAATCTTCTTCTTTTTATCGCCCACAAACATGTAAATGTTGTCCGTATGACAATAATACTATAATTTGGCGATTTGTTACAGGCGTATTATTTACATTTTCTTAATTCAAAATTATTATATAAATAGTGCATTGCTATACTAATTTTTTATTAAGAAATTGTCCATGCCCAAAATTAATTAATTTGAAACTTATCTACTCTCTATAATTTTTTTAATTTATTTTTTGAAATAGTTTTTATTGCTGAATCGGGAAACATTTTTTGTTGTAATATGTACATAGCCTATAGCCATTCTCGATAAATGGACTATCCAAAACGAATTTTGTAATACGAACCAGTAGTTCCTGAGATTAACGCTTCAACCAAACAAACAAACTCTTCAGCATTTTAATATTAGTTTAGCTTTACGTCTTAACTATATTAGCCTTCTGTTTTTCAGAAAATCCGTGCACAGTGGAAAATATCTTCACAGCTGTTGGGCATAAGCTCGAACATTTTACTTTAAAATAGTTTGTCAGCAACTACGTAGTACTCGAGGTCGTTAATTTTAATTAACTTGTTTTAGAGAGTCCACGAGAATGATACTTTGCTTCTAGGACTTTCTTTGTAATATGTTAATATTTTTTTGAGTTCACTCTTGTAGTTCAATCATTTATGAACTTAAGTAATAACTTAAGAACAACTTAGCTTAATTAATATTTGAAAAACTTGTTATTTCCTTTGACTTATACTTATTATATATTATTATGAATAGTTTGATAAGATAACCATTATTATTTATGACACAATGACTTGAGGCAACAACTCGTGAAATAAGCAATAGTTACTTAAGTACAAACTGTACAAAAAGAAAGAAATTGATTGAGAAAGTGATCATATTTCAGGTAAATGTTTTCTTTTTCTCTGTTTGTAATTTATTGTGCGGCTGTAATAATTAAATAATAAAATAAATTATCATTTTTTTGTCTCACTTTCTCTCGTTTTTTTAATTATTTGATGTGCTATTTTAAGACCCATGTTGAAGCAATTATGAGCACATAATATACTAGTAACACATTACAGTGTGCTTCAATTATTAAAAAAATGAAAAATTCAGTTAATAATAAAAAAAAACATAAAGCAGTGTGCTATATCTTTCATGAAACATGCATCTAATTAATATAATATTATATTCTCACCGTTCTGTTCTCACCTAAGCAATTTGGGGTACGATGGCTAATGTTTTAGTAGTATTAGTGTAGTTTTTCCTACTCTTCAACCTTTAACTCACTTTATTAATTTTATTCGTAATTAACTATGTAAAGAAAATCCTGGCAGTAAGTTATAATCTACCTAATAAATATAGACATTAAAACAAATATCAAGGACACACCTAAATATTTGAAGACAACCCTTTATTTTGTACGTCAAGTTCACGAAGTGAACTATATAATTTCAGGTCTACAAAGTGTGGCAGTGGGCGTCTTGATTATAGACACACCCATTCTATTGAATGGTAATTTAGGAAAAAATCCTGCTCCTGAACAATTGAGTTTAAATTCTTTATAAGATAGGGCTGTAAAATGTCCGGTTGTTATTAATTGTTATAGCTGTTTTCTTTTTTTTTTCATTAAGTTTATATGTAACCGTGTGATTAAGAATACGGAGTGTCACCACCCCTATTGATCCCGTGGGTGTCGGAAAAACCGACTGAGGACAAACTACGTAGGACAATGGCAATTCAAAGAGAAGGAAAACTTGACACAAACCCTTTTTTTTTTTTTTTTTTTTTTTTTAACGTGTGGAAATCCCCTCGGACCGTCACCCCTCCGGGGTTTGCGGCGGGGTGGTGTGTCGGACTCGGACCGACTAAAACCACACGGTGTGCCACTCTGCGCCTGTAACAGGAGGGATCCGGGAACAGCTGTTGTTAAGACATCCGGACCCCTCCTAGCGCCAGCCCGCTCCTGGTGCGGGCTCCGTCTCAATATATTTTCCTCTCTTTTAGGCGACGTCCGGCACACGCGGACGCCGCCCCCTCGCGGCTGGCCAAACTAATGCGGGTGGAGGGGAAACCCACCCCGTCCACCCGCGGCCACACTCAGGGCGGCATGAGGCTGTGGTAGGCGGGCCTCCGCCGCCCGGTTCGCCGGCGGCGGATCGGGTCCGAGTGGAGGTCGTCCTCCCGGGCCCTCTCCGCCGCCTCCTTCCGCGAGATTACTACCTCGCAGAAGGTCGCGACCGCGGTAAAACAACTGTCGCTACCGGCCATGGAGCGTACTACGGCCGGTAGCGAGAGATCCACTCCGATGACTGAAGTGAGGGCCCGGCGCTGCGCCGCCCATGCGGGGCAGACCGCCAGCGTGTGCTGGGCCGAGTCCTCACTGCAGTCGCAGTGGTGGCAGGCGGGACTCAGTTCCCTCCTAGCGACCGAGTGCAGGTACTTTCCGAAGCAACCGTGCCCGGAAAGCACCTGCGTCAGCCGGAAGGAAAGGGTCCCGTGCTGCCGCCCTGCCCACTCGGCGATGACCGGCTGGAGAGCCTCCACGGCGGCGAAGCCAGCGCGTGGAGTCTCCAGCCGGAACGACCAACGAGCCATCGTGGTTCGGCGAGCGGCTTCGCGCCACTCGCGCACATCCTCGGGCGGAGGGCGAAATCCGTTCCGGCCAACGCGCACGCCACCTCCGTCGAAACGGTGCGGTAACCGCGTATGGCTCTGACCGCCATTACCCTCTGAGGGCGCCAGAGGCGTACCCTATTCTGGGCGGTCAGAGCCGCCGCCCACACCGGTGCACCGTACAGTGCCATTGACCGGACAACCCCCGTGTACAGCCGTCTTGTCGCGACGCTGGGTCCACCCATATTGGGCAAGAGTCGCCCTAGGGCAGACGCAGCGCCGACCAGCTTTGGAGCAAGCTGTCGGAAGTGCTCGTCGAAGAGCCACCTCCCGTCGAGGATCAGGCCCAGATATTTCATCTGGGCCCGAACCGGTACGAGGACCGAGTTGACCACGATTGAGGCGCCAGGGGGTGGACCACGACGGGGCCCATGAAATAACAGGGCCTCCGTCTTATCTAGGGCCACCCGTAAGCCCAGCGCCTCAATGCGCCCGACCACCAGGGAGACTCCCCCTGTGGCCAGGCGCGCCGCCTCTTGGAAGTTTGCCCCCCGGGCTGTCACCAGGGTATCGTCTGCGTAACAGATTACACCCAGCCCGGGGGGGAAATCGGCGCGAAGGGCCCAGTCGTACCCTATGTTCCACAAGAGGGGTCCAAGAACAGACCCCTGCGGAACACCGCACGACATGGGCCGACACCTCAGATTACCTTCTCGGTCCTCGTACACGACGGTACGCTCCTCTAAATAGTCTGCCACTAGCCGCCTCAGGTACTTTGGCACCCCATGATAGTGGAGTGCTTCCCTGATGCAGCTGAATGGCAGACTATTGAATGCGTTGGCGATGTCTAATGACACCGCCAACAGCACGCCGCCACAGCTCACGGCCTCTTCGGTCACGGCCCTCAGGCGCAACACGGCGTCGACTGTCGAACGCCCCGCCCGAAAACCAAATTGGGCGTCCGACAGATCGGGGCCCACCTCGCAGAGGTGCCGGACGATGCGGGCAGAAAGAACCCTCTCAAACAATTTGCCCGCCTCGTCCAGCAGCACGATGGGCCTATAGGCCGCGAACACAAACCCTACACCAACCCGTTTGGCTAGCGTGATATAGTAGGCCAAAACGTCGCTTTTAGTAGAAGCCTAGAGATTGATGTGATGTGATGTAAGCAGCGTTTTTACTTTTTAGTAATTAGAACCACCAAAGCATACCTATAGTTGTTGTTGTTTAGACGGGCCTGTTGGTGTAGTTATTAGTGACCTTGACTGATAAGCCGTCGTGGTCGTGGAGGTCGTGGGTTCGATTCCCACCCAGGACAAATAATTGAATGATGAGCACGATGATTTGTTCTATTTCTGTGTATAATTTATGAATAGTATGTAATACCTATAGATGTTTTATGCTTTCGCGACTTTGAATTTGGAACTCAATTTTGATAATGTAATATACATTTTTTGTCACCCGACACATTGGATAGGTATATAATCAAAATAAGATGAAATATGACTATATATGCACGACCTATAGTTGGACTTTTTGGTATATTGACAATAAAAAGATTAAACGTCTGCCTGCCTCTAGAAGTGTTTTTTGGTTTTCTTACATATCATTCATTATTACAATGCTTACTCTATCTTTCTCCACGTCAACTTCCATTTTTCAAATTTTTCATCTTATTTTGATTATATACCTATCCAATGTGTCGGGTGACCAAAAGTTGCCTTTTTAAAAGAAGAATAGAAGAATAAGAAAAGATATGAATTGACAACCCCTTTTTTGTTATAATCGCCAAGGTTTAAAATAAAATGACTGCTTCATTTTTTAAGAATTATAATCCTGGTACGATTAACAGCAGAGTGAATAGTTTTCTTTTAGATAGAACTGCCTTCAAAAAAAATGACAAGATCTGAAAAATTCTCAGAATATAAAAAATAGACAATTGTAATACACAGATTTATATCTGTGTAAAAAGTGGACAAGTGTCTTATTACCGTAAGACAAAGATTTTCAAATGCGTCACTTTAAATAATTCAAAGAATAAATCAAATCACTCAATTTCAAAGTTATCGTTAACCCGACAGGATAATTTTATGCTTTAGACACACTCGCACTGTTCTAAATAAAAGTGTAGTTCTATGGACACGATTGGAGCAAACCGATGTTAAACAATTCTTACGTTGCCTTTCACTGAGTAAGTGAGGTTACCGAAATCCCCCTTCCCGCTGACTCGAGCGGAAATGACTCCAAAGGCAGCAACGCACCTGTGACTTTTGCAGGTGTCCATGGGCGGCGGTAGTTTCTTACCATCAGGTGACCCGTCTGCTTGTTTGCCCCCTTATACTATATAAAAAAAAGTGTGCTCCCAGCAGATTAAAAATTAAAGTCTTGAAACATATATTCTATTGTGTCAAATTGTTATTAATACAATAATAGATTACACTTCACCTATATCTTCATATAACCCTCTTGTCCACTATCTAACTTTTCAATTATTATTTTTTTAAAGATCTTCGTACACTTCAAATAACTAAAAGGACTTTCTATCACCTGCTCACATACCACTTTGTCATTCATTTCAAAGAAATTGATTTTATAATTACATAATTCATTTTCAAAACTTTATCCCTTCGTAGTAGTGTGATAAGGAAAAATGTAAATATAAATATTAAACTAGTAGAGTAAAATAGAAAAGATAATTCGTACAGTTTACTTGAGAGAATAAGAGGGACTAAAAGCATTAAGATTTGATTTTTTATCATTCAAAATTAATATGCATTCATATAAGAACGGCTCCTTAAAAATTGACGTATGTCAAATATCCCACAGTCGACAGGAGGCCTATTTAGTACCCTTGAACGACAAATTGGAATGTCTTGTTAATATTTTGTACTAAACATTAAAAATAATATTGAAA